CTTAAATAAGAGCCTTTTGACACGTTGGGTTTCAATAGGTTGAGGAAGTTTACATGTTACAGGGTCAATCGAATAGTTATGTTGTGGAACCGTGTCCACCTTGCAAGGTGGACACAGTTCTATGTTTATAATTACTAAACTATATGTTCATTATTATAAAGCTATATATTCATAATTTTTGAACTTCATATTCATAAGTACGTATTGAACTCTATATTTATAATTACAGAACTCTAAATTCATAGTTACTGAACTATATGTTCATAATTATAAAGATATATATGCATAATTTTTAACTTCATATTCACAATTATTGAATCTCTATATTCATGATTACATAACTATATGTTCATAATTATGTTCACAACACTATGTTCATAATTATAGAACTATATGTTCATAATTTTTTGAATTATATATTAATAATTATGAACAATTTTTGAACTGTGTCTACATTTCAAGGTGGACACATATCCACAGCATAATTTGTCAGGTTAATAGTACTAAAATAAAAAAAAAAAAAAAAAAAAAAGTCTTTGGACTTCTCATACTTGCCCATATTGATGGGCAAGCAATTATATGTTTGTAAATGCCCCTCTTATATAGAGGAGTTTAAGAGCTCATCTTTCCAAACATTTTCAATGTGGAATCAAAATGATCCCACATCATTTACAAAGGGAAGCCACCTTTGTCTTCTTCTTCTTTTTTTTTTTTTTTTTTTTTTTTAATTTTAAATTTATTTTGTATATAGTTTTGTTTGGATTATTAAATTTGTTGTTATTGTTATTATTATTATTGTTATTGTTATTGTTATTGTTATTATTTTAATTTTAATTTTATTTTTTTATTATTACATTATTACATAGGATTTTTATTATACTTGAACAATAATATTATCAATTATATTATTATATTATAGAATATAATACCATACATAATGTTACCAATTATGCAATATTACCAATTAATAGATTTTTTTTTTAATTTCCATTAGACATTTACTTACCAAATAAGCTTTACTACAAAAGTTTCGGCGGGAAAATGAAATTGGATGATTTTGTTGTTGTTTTTTTTTTTTTTAAAAGGGATGATTTTGTTTTTATATAATAATAATAATAATAATAATAATAATAATAATATATAATATATAATATATATAGATTAATTATTACCCTAATACTTAATTTATAATTCTGATTTTAAAATTCTTCTTCTTATTATTAACATTAACATTTGATTAGTTTTATAAAAAAAATGTAAATTCTAAAATTTGTATGAATAAATTTAAACTCTAATCCGACGCATTTCCTTATATGATTGTATAATTCATTTTATATACACATAATATTTATTAAAATGAAAATAGGAAAATTCTATAATATAATTTCATTAATTATAATTTATATTGATAGATTTATAATTAAAAAATTACATTTAAAAATTTAAAAAGTTGCATTTAAATTTTGCATGATTATTATAGTGCATAAGTGTATGTATGATCAGAAATATTCATGTTTTGTTAATTTAATAATTTCATTTCTTTAATTATATTTCATATTTTATTAATTGTAATTTAACTAAATTGTCACAAATATTTCTAGGGAAGAAATCTTATATTTCTCAATTTCTTTAATTATATTAATTATAATTACCAAATATTGTGACAATTACCATAATAATTTCATTAATTATATTACTTATATTAATTATAATATTTGTAATAATCTCTTCCAAAATTTAAATACATTACCATAATAATCACACAAAATAATGAAAGAAAAATTATCAAAATTATTATCTTTAATAAAAATAAGGAAATTATATTAAAAATTAATTATATATTAAGATAAGTATAATTTTTTTCATGCCAATATATTATACATTAAGTATAAAAATATATATGTATATAAATTACCATAATAATTACACCGAAAAAGGTAACAATATATAATTATTAGGTAATAATATTAATAATTAATTATTAAGGTAAGTATAACTTATTTTGTACTAATAATATTATCCATTATATATATATATATATATATATATATATATATATATATATATATATATATATACTTTTAATTTTATATTGATAACCATAGTCTATGTATATACTTTAAGAATATATTCATTATTAAAGATTAAAGATGAGATATAATTTAAAAAGTAAGTTATTTATTAGATTACCTAATATAATTATCTTACTAATTGATTTAATGCTACTATGTATAATTCATATATTTGAAAACTTTTTAAATCGAAATATCCATTAATTGCCTTAATAATTAAAATAATTGTTAGTCAATCAATATTCAATAGTACTAAAAGTATTATTTGAATTTTTATACATAAGATATAATATTATTAAATCGAAATAATTAAAAATAATGTGTCCATATTACAAAAAATTTTATAATAGTAATTTTTATTGCATAATAGAATTTGACAATTATTAAACATTTTTTATGGTAATTATTGTATGACTTTTAATACTAAAATTATTAGGTAGAATTTTTATAATTAAGGTATAATATTCTTAAGGTAAAATATTGCTTATATATGGTTTACCCGTATTAACCATCACTATATTAAATTAATAAATAATTCTTTTAATATAATATATTATTAAATCTAAACATATGATTAATATTTATTCAATATTATTACGGAAGTATTACAATTATAAATTTTACTCCATATTAAATTTTAAATGGCTTAGCATATCGAAGCAAACATGGTAAGTCAATAACATTATTTTACATTAGTAAAGTGATTTTATATCAAGGAATGTCAGATGAAGAATAAAATCAAAATAATACTCTATTGAAAAAAAAGTCACAGTACTTAATCATTTTTTTCCTAAAAAAAAAAATTTTAAATGGCAAGAAAAACGTCTTGAAGGGAAAGACAAACTACTCTCTTATTACAAAAAATGTACACTTTAAAAACGGAGAAATTGAATCGAAACAAAGTCCAATGCTTTGATATATTGACAACTAAAAAATGCTTTTAATTTCATTTTGGTTTTTATTGTATTCTTTGTATGGTTCCCTCTATAAGTCTATATATATTTACATATACACATAATTCGTCCCTCGATCACAAAACTTTATCATCTTGATGAGCAAGGAACTCTTTTGCTTCCCAATCAATCTTTCTAGATCTGTATCTTCTCCACGCAAAAAAAAAAAAAAAGACAAAAAAAAAAATATATATCAACATTTTTTCTTATGAACCACTTTTGTTGTTTAAAAACCATAGAATACAAAAAAAAATAAAAACAAAACAAAACCCAAAAAGAAGAAAAAAGGGAAAATGACACTTTTTCCCCCTATGTTATATACTTATAGCACTTTTTCCCCCTCAATTATTTATGTAAGCACATTAGCCCCCTCAATTATTTTAAAAGTGGTGGTTTTTCCCCCCTGATATATTAAATTGACATTTCTACCCTTAAAGTAAACATTTTATTTATTTTATTTCTCCAACAAATTATTGTGTATATGTAGCAATGACCACGGTTCGGTTCGAACTGAACCGGACACTATAGCAATCGAATTAAAAGTTTCCGGTTATGATTCAGATCTAGAATCCAATATTTAGATTTCAATTTATGAACCAAAAAAACTGGATCATGAACCGTGAACCGGCGGTTCCGGATCCGGTTCGTGATTTTGAACCGTCTTTATTTTAAATTTTATTTTATCTTTTATTTTAAAATAGTCTAAATTCAACAATAAATGTATTTTATTTTTCAGTTTGGAACATGAACCGGCCATTTCGATTTGCGATTTTAATAAACTCTAAATATCGCGTTTTGATTCTAAATTGTAATTGGAATATTTTGGTTTGGTTGCTATAATATCTGTTTGGTTTGAACCAAATTATAGTAATAATTTGTTGGAGAAGAAAAATAAATGAAATATTTATTTTAAATATTTATTTTAAGGGTAAATATGTCCATTTAACATTTTAGGGGGGAAAAGAGCCACTTAAATAATTCAGGGGGAAAAAGTGCTATAAGTATATAACTCAGGGGGAAAAAGTGCCATTTTCCCAAGAAAAAATAAAAGAAACTAAAATGATGAAAACCTCACCAATGTAAATCACGTATCAACCTCAACTATGGAAGATCACATGATGATTAGAAGTCTATTGCTTCCCGGTCAATCTTTCTAGATCCGTATAGTATCTTCTCCACAAAAATAGACCAAAAAAAAAAAAGAATATATCAACATTTTTTCTTACGAACCACTTTTGTTGTTTAAAAATCAAAAAATACAAAAAAAATAAAAACAAAACAAAACCCAAAAAGAAGAAAAAATAAAAGAAACCAAGATAATGAAAACCTCACCGGTGCAAATCACGTATCAACCTCAACTGTGGAAGATCACAGGATGATTAGAAGTCTATTGTTTCCCGATCAATCTTTCTAGATCCGTATCTTCTCTACAAAAATAGACAAAAAAAAAAGAATATATCAACATTTTTTCTTACGAACCACTTTTGTTGTTTAAAAATCAAAAATACAAAAGAATAAAAACAAAATAAAACCCAAAAAGAAGAAAAAATTAAAGAAACTAAGATAATGAAAACCTCACGCAAATCACGTATCAACCTCAACTGTGGAAGATCACAGGATGATTAGCAAAAATCAATAAAATAATTAATCTTAGTTGGGGTTGTGTATGGTCATATAAGGTGTATTTATACACAATGAATGAGATAAAAGGGTTTAGTATTGAAATTATAAAATGGTAAGAGATCTCAAGAAAGGTAAAATCTTTAATATTATTAAAATGCCATATTTGTCTAAATATTTGATATTACAAAAATGCCTCTAAGTTTTGGGGGGAAAACTTGGCTAGGAGGATTTTACTTATATATATATATATATATATATATATATATATATATAGATAGATAGATAGATATAGATTGAGGAATAAATGTGAGCAAATAAATAACTCAGGGGTGAAAAGTGCTATATGCCTTGCAGAATTCTGAAATGCAGTGAAAAAGTGTCATTCTGAAATGCAGAATTCTGATGCCTTGCTGACGTAGTGACTACCGACGCCACTTTTTTCTTGCAGTCGAGAATCTCTGAATCGTTCGCTCCCTCCGTCACAATTCAGATTTCAGAATCGACTCGGTTTCTGATCTATGGAGAACGCCGATCCAGTTCCTCAATCTGCTCCTCCTTTTTCTTCCGATCCCTCAGATTCCCGCAACCGCCAACCACCGCAGCTCCGCTACTTGCACTGCAGCTGCTTCCGCCGCTGCTGCCGCTGTTTCTGCTGCTTCTACGCCTAATCATCACTCAAAAACACCTCACTCTTTTGCTACCATAGACCTTTAGTGTCTTTATTCATCATCAGTATTGTTTTTTTTTTTTTTTTTCCTAAAATTTTCTTGTACAATGATATGGGTTCCTTTCTTTTTGTTTCTTCAATTTATAGCTTCTTGACTCGGTGTGTATGTATGTGGAATATTTGTACACACATTTTTTTACTTCTAGTAATTTATTCAAATATGTATTCTCGTGCTAAATTAACCAGAACAATATGCTCCATATCTATGATTATCAAATAATCATAATTGAAGCGGGGAAAATGAAACACCAAAGATATATGCTAGAAATGAGGAACAATAACTGTATGTTGCAATTGCAAGAATGAGATGTGTTTAGTGTTGGGTTGTTTACAACTTACAAGCATTTTGTTTGATTTACTAATTCTTAAAAAAAAAAAAAAAAGCTTTCTTGGGTTTCCAAAGTTGTTTGAGAAGCATGGATCTCTATTTGGAGACTGAAAGTGGGATACCACCGTGTGGATTGAACTGTTTAGGTAGTTAAATGATTAATATGTGGATTTCAGAGGAAATCGTCTGAATTCTGAAATGTTTGGTGTTATGGATTGTAAAGGTGTAAAGGTTTGCTTATGAGGATGCAATTCCAATGCTGGGGAAAGCTACTTGATTTCCTGATGAGTTATGCTCAAATGAAGTGTCCACTGCTACAAAGGTGTGTACCCTTTATCGCTTCTGTAATGTTATTCTTCTGTAGAGTTTCTAATTTAAATTTTATGCTGGTAATGCGCTCTGAAGCACAATGACTGATTCTTTGTTGTTTGGGTGATATCGTGTCACTGTAAGAATTTAGCTATCAACTATGGAAAAGGTTTGAAAAGAAAAAAATCTATACACAATGTACATAATAGGAAGGGTAAAGAGTCTAATAAGCTGGGAATAGTTGGTCACCATGCTTTCCTGAGTAAAAAGGTATTACATGTATGTATAGTTGTCTCTAGGTTCTTGGATTTAAAAGTATTCCTAAGTTCCCTGTTCCTGAATAAAAATGTATTGCAGGTTCAAGACTAGTATCACTATGGATCCCTAAATCCCCGTTCTTGCAATGCATGATCTTTTTGTTTTGTTTGTTTTCTTTGATTTTTATTTTTTTAAAATTTATTTTATGTTTGTAGACTGGCATCTTTTACTTTGTTTTGTTTTGTTCTATTATGGCGTAGAGCTTTACATCATGTGTAGATGTGCTAGACCAATTATGATGTACCTTTTATTTTGATTTTTGACACAACTAGAAAGTAAATGTATATAATGACAGATATGGATGCAGAAAATAAATGTATGAACTCAACTTCATAGCTCTTGTGTTCCTCCATATATGCCCATTTTATGATTATCTAAAGGCCCGAGATGCATTTGTATCTTCTCAAGTTTCTGGCAAGTGGTGGCTATGGCATTTGATATTATCTTGATTATGATGTTAAACACTTCCAGTTATCAGGGATGTTTACAGCTTGAATCTTGATGTTTGAAAATAAAGAATGAAATAAGGATAGGGGTTCAAAATGCAAGTTTTACTGAAACAATAAAGATACCTATTTCTCTGTAAAAGAAGATTGTGAAATGGAAAATAGAAACATGCCACAGAACAAGCTTTGGGGACAGAAAGGAAAAACTGAAGTTCTATAGGGGCTAAGTCTTTTATTTGTTTGGGTTCATATATAGGTTTGGTTTTAAATTATGGGGGGCTACTGGATACTGATTAGAGATGAGTATTTCAGTTAATTGTTGTTCCAAAGCAATATTCCAATAACTACCTTAATTCATCTGGAACTAAATTTCTCAGGGTTCCTACCTGTATCACAGATCAAGTAGTTAGTAGTGTCTTAAGCTTGAGTCATTTGCTTATGTCCTAGGATTCATTTTTATGAATTCTATGAGCCTATAAATCCCTATATATGTTCATTTCCATCAGAGTTCAATTACAAATTAACTTGAATGTTTTTTCACTGAATGTTACACTGTGATGCATTTATCAATTCTTACTTTACGAGGTCTATTCTTAATGAATTGTAGGTTGAATTCCAGGATGATTCACCACAAAACCCTAACATCACTCTTTTCATCCAACCCCCAATCAGCCCAAAGTAGCAGGATGTGGTAGTCTTTATTTTTACAAAGTAGCTGTAGGTCCACTAAGAAAAAACATTAATGGTGACAATCTGTTAGAGGAAGGAACAATGGAGAATTGAATTGAAAAAGGAAACAACAAGGATATGTAAAATATCATCCAGCAAGAAATGGTTCTTGCCCAGCTATACTCAGTCCTTATTTATTCTAATTACTACTGCCTGCCTCAACACTAAGGAAGACTCCCTATTTATAATCTCATATTGTATAGGAAAGTAAATAGCATAATATCCTCCCCTGATTCCCTGCTGCAATCCCATAACTTATGCTTTATTTGTAATATGAAATTATGCTGCTTGATTGATTCTCATTTCCATTTGTGTCCTGATTTCCTTTCTTTCTCTTGAGTAAACAATCCACTGGTGTTTTATCATTGCCACCCTCTACATTTGTTTATGTAATACATTAATTCATTTTATTTATCTGCTAAAGCTATACAGTCTGTGTAGGTGGGATCTATCTATTTACTAACCCATTGCAAACCTTATATTATTCATGTTTAGTGGTAATCTTACCTTGCCATCAAAGTGTGTTTGGAACTTTGGATGTTGATGTTTAGCAAAGTCTTGATTTTGCAAAAGGCATCCAAATAGATGTGGTGTGAAGAGTGCCTGGTAGTTTGGTAAACTGCTTTTGGAAGGCCTGTAAGCTTTACAGGCTGATTGATAGTCTCTGCAAGCTGTGTTGTTGTACAGTTGAGCTCTGGATTGTCTCTATGTAATGTCTTTACAACCATTTAGACCTAGGCATCCTTCTTTAAGATCAACTTTCTAATCAACTCTCTATTCACCAAGATGCTTTACAATTATCCACTCCTTTCTAAAGAAAGGCTTGCAGCCTTGCACAAAATTCAAAATCATAGCTATTTTAGAATCATCAAAGGACAGTCTAGGAGGCTACTAGACAATAGCTTATTTTAATCTATAATTCCCTGATTTTTCGAGACAAGTTTGCACATTTTGAAATTATTATTGCCTCTATGCATCCCTTTAACCTGTCTTTGCCAAAGGCGTTAAACCTATCTATAAATCCATTATGGACCCATCCACATCTGGAGAGTTACATAGTCTGAAACCTGTTGATCCTGTGTGTACTAGGATTCTAGGAATATAGAATTTGTCCAACGTCAAGTATAAGGAACAGAGCATGTACGTCCAACCAAGATCTGATGGATAAGATTTTGGATCAGACAAATTTCCAAACATTTAAGTCAGACAGCAGCATGCTTCCAAACAAGAAATAATGACCGCCACCTTGAATTAGAAAGGGAACTTTATATACCCTTGTAGGGGTGGGTGAAAGATATTTTCTGTGTGTTTCAGAAACTGTGCACCTAATATATAGAAAACTGAGTTTGGACTTCTGATGGGTTGAACTTGGTGGGATCAAGATAGGTTTTCAACCTTGAGTAAATGTGCATTTCCGGCAATATTTTGAATTACTACATTAGTACATTATGCAAGTCGAAGACAACTTGGTGTGATTTGTTTTGTCTGATAAATTGAATTTACAGGCTGTCTAGGCTGGTCACTGGTGCTATTAAGGAAACCTATATTGGCAACACCTCATATTCAGTTCAATGAAGAATTGAAGATTATATAGGTTACTTGAGTCTTAAAATTTATTCATCCTGTCCATCAGGAGCTGTTTGATGCAGGTTTTTCTTAAAAGTTGATTTTTGAATGGAGCAGCCAAATAGTTGAAAAGGCCTGTAGGGTACGGGGTAACAAGGCTCCACGAGTTGCTTTCTACTATGCAACGCCAGATTTGACATTTCAACATTCTAAAGGATTTATTAATGTGATAAGCTTGAAGCCGGCATTTATTCTCTTTATGATCCTTATCACGCACGCCCTTCCCTGTCACCTTTCATAGTTATGGGGCGCCTCCATCTACCAGTTTGTTTTTTGCTTGCCTGATTTAAAAAAAAAAAAAAAAAAAACCGTGTGACTCGTTTTCTTGATTATACTGAGCATTCAATAGCTTGTGATGTACAGCTGGTTTCATGGACAGTTGGGAATTGGGATAACTTAGCTTGGGTGTGTGATGGATGCTAAGATTGTAACAGAAATTGTTGAACAACTCTTTGCAGGTGCATGAACATGATTGTTCAAATCCATGTATTTACCTAACAAGGCTTCTTCAAGATCTGATATGGAGTTGCCATTCTGGTGATAAACCACCTCTGCATTCACTTTCATGTGGTCCATTCCAGGTAGATGCTGGCTGGTTGCAATTATTGCAACTCTGGGGACTCTCCTCGACACTCACCTAACAAGTTGAAGGTGTCAAGATTGCATAATATATTATTCAAAAATTCTACCCTGTGGTCCTTGAGGATTTGATTCAAATTCCTAGTACCAGAAAGAGAGATAACAGGAGATAATGAAACAAGATTCTCATGTCTACAACTATTTCTAACTTTCACTTTATGTGCTGCTGCTGCTGTTGCCTGTTAACATTGCCATCAACTTTGTCCCTCTGATGCCATGTTGGGCGGAGGCTGGTGAAGGGTCAAATTCAGCAATTGCAGGGCGTTTGGTTGGGAAGAAGAAATTATGGAAGAAAAAAATTGTGATTCGATGAGAAAAGAATAAGGCGATAATAAAATAGGAATTCAAATTACATTGTTTGGTAAAAAGGAATTGAATTATTGGGAATGGGAAAGAAAAAAAGTGATATAAAGACTAAAATGTTCTTGTGTAGTAATAATAATCAAGGGCAAAAAGGTCTTTTCTTTACTTTTTCCTTTCCTTACCTTTCCATGCTGAATTGCAATTCATATGAGAGGGGGTATGAATTACAATTCATTGAATTGAGAGAAATGCAATTCTCTCCAACCGAACACTGTAGTTTTCACTTTTACTGAATTTCATTGTAATTGAATTACAATTCATGCCAACCAAACACCTCAGCTGGCTAGGGGATTGTTGCGCGAAGGTCGGTGAAAGGTCAAATTCAGCATCATTTTTTTTTTGAAAAACGTGATGTGCCACGGATTTGAATTCCAACAAGAGTAAAAAGTAAAAACTGTGCAATTAAGGCCGGTAGGTAGCGCTTGACCCTTGGATGGATCACCAACTGTTTGGTTTCTATCTAGTGGTATTGGATTTATATTTGTTTTCTTTTATTAAGGTCAATGTTAGTAGAAAACTGGGAATAATTGTAAAATCCTATTTGTATTGATGCTACTAGGTATTTTTCCCTTTTTCTTTTTTGGTGGTAAAGATATAATAATAATGTGAATAAAATATTAACCCAGCATGCCAAATGAACAGAAACTGTCTTCAACTGGTTTGTTGGAACATAAATATGCTGCTAAAACCACTGGCAAAATGCATTGTTTCACAAATCTTGTCTTTATCACTAATCTTTAATTTCTTAACACCTATCATTACCCATTTTATTATTCAATATTTAATTGACTAATCCTAATTAGGGAAACACCTCAGGGGGAGGCAGCGCATGAATTTCCGGTATGGGACAAAAAGCATGACATCTGGTTACATGGTCTGTGATTTCTGAAAGTGACTTAAATACTACTTCTATTTTTGCCTCCCTCAAACCCCCCTCCCTCCCCCCAAAGCAGGGGAACCAAAAATTTATTAATGTTTGGTAAATAGCTGTTAGCCGATTGAGTTAGTAAGTTTGAATAGTTGATAACATTAGCTGATTGTAAAAAAGATGTTTGGTAAAATTAACTGTTAGCTTATAACTGATTACATTGAAAATGACTTTCTCAAAAAGTTGATAGAAAAAATTATTTTGAACAGTTTTTTAAATTTTAGCCCTTTAAAGCAATAAGATGTTATAAAAAAAAATTAATTAATCAAATACTTATATTGGTTGTTTAACCAAATCAAACAGCTAATAGTAGTCAAATGAGCTAAAATTGACTGATAAACTAATTATGTTATCAAACATGACCTTTGTCAAATTGCCTCAATATTTAACTTAGGTGTGTTTAGTCTTAACCACTTGGGTATTTAGTTTTAATTTCGTTTAGTTTGACTAGTATCCTCGTGATTAATATTCAATTTCAAACATGATGAATATTTAATTTCAAACATGATGAATATTTAATTGAAATGTAATGTACATAGTCATATTGCAGGATGATCTAAATTGTCACCAAAATTTTATTTATCAACCAATATATTTGAGTTAGTTAATTAAAGGAGTCAAAGTCTATGCATACATGTGTGTGTGAGAGGTCAATTTAATTTATTTACTATTCTTATTTTCTAATCACACCAAACAAGTTTAGTAGGGTTGAGCTAATTTTTTCCGTCGGGCATAACTCACTGATTTACTAGGTAAATTTGGAGTAAAAAATTAAAGTTTGAAACTCGACAGCGACAATATAAGAATTATGTTTGAAGTGCACAAATTCCTTGTGTTCACTGGAATTTGACCCTAGCTATTTGTTTATTTATATCTTGGGATTAGGAATTCAATCTTTTGGAACAAGGGTTGAGCTAGTTAAGTTTTAAGAAAATACATGTACTCCCATTCTCTATTTCCAACTTTTACTTCCACACTTAAAATATTGATGTAGACACTGTTACATGGATCCACATGAAGAAAATAGCCTATCAGAACTAGCCACATCAGGGAGTAAATTTGAGAGAGTAGGATTTGCGAGTACGTGTAGTAGAACTCTAAGTTTTATTAGAGTGTTTCCCTCTTACTATTTTTTTTTTTTTTTTTAACTCCCCTCCTTAGCTCCTTTTATTTATTTATATTTTAGGAGAATGTACGGGGAATGACCAACTTACCCCTTTGACCATGCATCAATGTTGTAAAAATCGACTTAGGCGCCGACTAGGCAAAGACGATTTTAACTCTAGGCGGCTTTTAGTCGACCGACCGAGGTGCCGAGTTGGGCGCTTAATTAGGCCGAGTTGAGTGTCTAACTTGGCCGAGTCGGGCGCCCAACTCGGTCGAATAATTTTTTTTGCCTTCTCAGCTATTCTTTTTTTATATTTCTCCAGCCATGTACTCAATTAACCATCTAACATATGCAGCTGACTAGTTTGAGGATTATAATAGTCTAACAACTCCTAGCCTTGAATGGAAAAAGTGGAGACGATATACTCAGATTACTCGGCCACCTATGCGCTTTAGGTGCTAGGAGTCTCATAGGGACCCGACTAACATGTAACGCTTTCTGCAACATTGCCTGCATAACAACATAAGAGATAGCATGCAACGGGTATCACCTTATATTATCAATGATTTTTTTTTTTTTTTTGATTTTGTTTTGTTTTGTTTTTGTCTAACAACAGGTTTTCTTAGCCGACTAACCATCACACATTAATATTAATTATATTCGTGCTTCGTAAAACCTTAAAGTAGCAAAACACTCAAATTTTAAGGTACCTACGCTTTTAAGGATGGAACCCAATTTTTAATATTTTTGTAATATTACTAAAATTCAAATTGTAATGCCCTAATATATATAGAGTATATATAGAGCGGGGTACAAAGTGATGAGGCGGCGGCGGGGGTGGGGGGTAGTTTTGGGAACATATGATGATGAGGGAAGGGGAAGTGAATGTGAATCAGACAAAAGGGTATAGATGAGAGCATGGAAACTGGCGCTTTGGACATTAAAGCCACCCAAATCCAGGAATCTCTCTATTACTGCACCAATAAGCTCCTACTTTCATCATTCTTTTCCTACTTTGGACAAGCAATGGAATGCATAATTATCCCTTTTACTAACTCATTATATAATATAATATATGTATATGCAGTCAAGGGGGTAGGGGTAGGGGTAGGGGTGGGGGGTTTGAAAACTACATAAATTCTTCTTCTGCATTACAGCTATTCATACTCCTCATATCACACAATTTTCATCATTCTTTCTTTCACTTTTCATTATCCCATTGGACCTTTTTTTTTTTTTTTTTTACCATTTTCCCACTTTTCTATATTTTCCTCACTTGCACCTTAATCCCAACAATCAAATTAAATAGCCAAATGGTCAAATAATTTGTAGTCGAGCTCTCAAATGGGGTCACGGGAACATGTAACAGACTCAGTAGTACTAAAAAATGGAATGAAACAGAATATCTTGAAATGGGAATTTTAAATAATTAAAAAAAAAAAAGAAGTAAAAAAGCTAATAGACAAAAGTACAACCAACCAACTTCTGATTCCCTACTTATATTCCATTCTTTTCTTCTTCTTCTTCTTTTTTTTTTTTTTGAGTATTTTTTTTTGTTTGTGGTTTTGGTTCCTCCTTTCTTTACCTATGGGTGCTGCAGAAATCCAAGAGCTTCTTCCTCCCTTCAACAATTTCATCAAAGAAATCATCAAGCTGCCCAATGATATTCTCAGTCCCAGATCTCAAAACCCCAAAACAAGCCTTCAAACTCTCAATTTTTTCTCTGATCCCATCTTCATCACCACCCCCACTCCTCTCCAGTTCACCCCTCAGCTCATCCATGGCTGCCTTTGATCTCTTAAACTCATAAAGCAAAACCCCATGCCCACCACCCATCTGCCTCTGATTCATCTCTTCAGCCACCCTTTGCTGCAATCTTGAGATTGAGATCATGAATGCTGACCCAAAAAACAGGCAGCCTTCATAGCTGCTTGGGGGGTGGTTTGATTCTGCAGGCCAGCAATAGACTAGGCCATAGAGTAAGATGATGAGCAGAAGAGAGCTGACATTCCTCATTGCATATAGGACTCCCCTGAACCCATTGAACCCATTCAGCTTTGACTCCTTCACTGAAACCACCCCATCAAACCTTAGGCATAGTGGCTCTATTCTTGTCTCCATTAATGCCCTGTTCTCTTCCTCCAGTCCCATTGCTTCTCTTCTACACCCTGTTATTGCCCTCATCACCTGTTGTTTTCATCAATCCAATCCAGATTCAGGATCAAACGCTTTTCACTACGTTAAAAAGTCAAAAGCTTTCGAATGGCAAGGTGCTGGACTTGACCATTTACCAGCCTCCGCCCAACAATTTTCCCTATCCTTCCCAAGACTAAAACCTATGACAGGTTATAATATCACTTATTAAGATCAAGAGTTTATCACTACGCCAAAAGCTATAGCTAATAGCATAATTTTGGAGGAGACTGGACTTGCCTTTTACTGGCCTTCGCCCAACAATCCCATAGCCTTAATTGATTTAGCCATTTACCGGGCCTCCGCCCAACAATTCACTCTGATATCACTTATTAGATCAATGGTTTATCACTACGCCAAAAGCTATAGAGCATAGTGTTGGACTTACCCTTTATTGGCCTTCGCCCAACAATCCCATAGCCTTGATTGATTTAGCCATTTACCGGGCCTCCGCCCAATAGTTCTTGGGACTAGAACTCATGACATGACTTTGATATCACTTATTAGATCAATGGTTTATCACTACGTCAAAAATAGACAGATTGCTGAACTTGACCCTTTACTGGCCTCTGCCCAATAATTCTTTAACCGTGATCGATTTGGCTCTTCACCGGTCTCTGCCCAACAATATTTAATTCAAGAAAAGAAGAAGAAGAAGAAGACTCACCTGGCGAGATAATTGGGGATTGAGATGGTGATGGGAATCAAGGGAAGATGTGAGATTAAAGCCAGCAGAATAGTAATTCTCCATCCCAGAAACACCAGACTTGAGGACATGGCAGACTTCCCAAAGCTTGGAGCTCTCATCCATATACTCATCAAGCCACTTCTCCCCCACAGGCAAGTGGAGCTTCTGAACAAGAAGAATGAGGTGAGAGTGAAAGGATCTTAAGAGGGCCAGAGCCCTCTGCAGGAATTGGATGGACATGAAATTGGTGGAGAGGAAAACACATTCCAGATCATCAATACCCCTGGTGAGGAAGGAGTAGAAGCCATTAACAGAGTTTGTAGAGGAAGGATCCATGGCCATGGGAGAGGTGAGGAAGAAATTCAAGGAGTTTGGGGTGTTGAGGGAGAAGGGAAATTTAAGGTTAAATAAAGAGAAAGAAGGAATGAAGATTTCTTAGAAGCTCAGGTTTCTATAGAGGTTGTGAAAAGGATTGTTGGGAGCAATGATGGATGTTTCCTATGGAGGAGAAAGGATGATTGGTAATCTGCCATTTTCATTGTTTAATGAGCAGAAAGGTAAGGGGAGGGAGGAGTTTAGAGTAAGAACTAAAGAATGAAAACCAAAGGGGAAAAACAATATATATTTTATACATATAATATAATATAATATATATATATATTTTTTTTTATTTAAAAAAAAAAGGAGAGCTTTCTCAAAAGAGAGAAAGCAGAAGGAAAACTGAACAACATCAACTCTCTTCCAATTTCTTCCTTTTCCCCCCTCTGCCTTTGATGTTTCCTTTTCCCTACTCTTCTACTTTAAAACATCAAAACACCACACCACACCTTCTGGATATTATTATTATTATAAAAAAACACATAACTTCCTTAGTGGATTCCTAATCTCTTTAATAATATAGTGTGTTTATGATTCAAATCTGAGAATTGATTTATTTTGTGGGAGCTGTCTTTCACTTCAAGGTTATTGGAAATCATGTCAATTTTGAATATGCAATCCTTGTATCTTATGTGTATGTATATATATATATATATATATGGGTTGGTTCCGGTGGAAAGGAGCTTTTTGGTGAAAAATGGAGTTAGATTTGAGCCATGATAAAAAAAAAAAGAAAAAAAAAGAAAAAAAAGAGATGTTATAAACCCAGGATCTGCTACTGACACTCATCTCATCTCTTGTGTGTTACTTGTTAGTGGTTGTGTTTTGGGATTGCAAAAAAAAAAAAAAAAACGCGTCCTAAATTAATGAAGCAAACACTAAAAAATGGCGCACATTAAGAAGGAAAATAATACACCTTAAGAAGGCAAACAAAGCACCATAAGAAGGAAAACAACGTACCTTAAGAAGGAAAAATCACGCACCTAAAGCTTTAGACTCACGCACCTTAAGAAGAAAAATAACGCACCTTAAGAAGGAAAATAACGCATCTTAAGAAGGAAAACAATGCACATAAAATTTTAGGTCGACGCACCTTAAGTTTCAACAACTGACACACCTTAAAAAGGAAAACCACGCACCTAAAGCTTTAGACCGACGCACCTTTAGTTTCAACAACTGATGCACCTTAAGCACACAACACAAAAATCATGTACCTTAAATTTGACCTAGATGCAAAAGACCAAATTACCACCGCATTTTTTTTTTTTAAAATTTGTGTTCAATCTGGACTGAGATCAACCCCATCTTCGCACCTCAAACCTATTACCATATATATAAATATTATGAGATTTTGAATTTATATAGGGTACTTGAATATTTTTTTTCATAGTTCTTGATACAAACCAAATGTCTTTTCCAAAACTTATTAATTAGTACTTGATACGATTGACACCGGGTGTTGATCATCATAGTAATCGCCTCCACATATAAATTTTATAATTATTGCAAACTTTTAAATTTGTAATATTTATAAAAATGGCATGTCCTTTCGTTTTTTTTTTTTTTTTAATCATCAATCAATAATTTATCTAAATAGATGCATCAGATCAGTTCTCACTTTTCAATAAAGTTTGTTCTCACCTTAACCTTCCCCTCAATAAAAAAAAAAAAAGGAAATAAAGGGTTATTTTGAAAGATTTTTTTTTTTTTTTCAATTCAATCCTTAATATGACTAAAATATTTTCACTCTTTTTTATTTTTGAAAGAATATAGCAGAGTAGAAAGCATCAAAGAATCATGGTTGCAGTAGACGCTAGTCGAGCGGTAGAGTAGTGCCTAGCGCTTAGACGTCACCTAGACGTGTACATGTGTGGGGGTATATATATATATATATATATATATATATATATATATTATAATAATAATAATAATTAGCAAGGCCGAGTTAACTCGGCTAACTTGACCAAAATGGACGAGTTAACTCGGCCGAATTCGACCAAGTTAGGCGCTAGGCGGACGCCTAGGAGGGAATCGCCATGGCCTAGGGGCACCTAGACCGATTTTTGCAACCGTGCGAAGAATATATGGAAATTTATCAAGTTTCTTTTATTTTCAAGCCTATTTTTAAAATTGTTAAAAGTGAAGTATAAAAAATGAAAAGGTGTATCTTATTTTCTCTTTTATAAAAAAAAATTGAAGTAAAAGGTATTAATTTTATATTGTGTTACATACTTAAATAGTGTATTGGGTCAAAGAGTAGAAATCTATTTATTTATTTATTTTTGTATGAGGGAGGTAAGTATATATTATTGTTGGTAGTAAAAAGAAAGATTGAGTTGGAATGGGGTAGGAAGGACTAGTTGTTGTTCCATATGGATATGGATAGGAGTTCCCGGGGCTTTAGAATAGAGAAGAGTGCTGTTTGGCTTCATTATCTTTCCCCTTTTTTCTTCCTCGAGCAACTGACTTTGTTCCTTTACATCCCCTCTACTCCATTGAAATTTGTGGGGTTTGCCTTCTCCCCTCCCTAGACCCATTTCACATTTCCATCCGCTGCTTGCTAGCTAGCTAATTCCATTTTCTTGTCATCTTTCTTTTAAGTGGATCGGATAGCTAGGGGGTTTTATTTATTTATTATTTCTATATGTTCAACAAATGAAATCATGAGATTCTTTGAATTTGTGTTTCAATAACTTTCTACCATGCAAAATCATTCTTTTTAGGGCAAACACTTCCCCCCACCCCAACAACAACAATAAATAATAATAATAATAATAATAATAATAAAAGTAAAAAGTCAAATAAATTCATCTACTACTCACGAGTGTTTAATCCACACCTTGAATTAAAATAAGATTTAATTTGGCACATTAACTCTTTTACTTAGCATTTTTTTTTTTTTTAAGTTTCTCCGATGAAATGCGATTCAATTAGAATACGGTTACAGAGATAGAGACTAATACTAAAGATAATTGCTACACGTAAAAGTCTCCTGACTAATAGATTATTCTAAGCTGACTAGTCTAACACCACATATTAAATATCTTATTACAAGAGGAAATAATAATAATACTAAACATATTATTCACACACCCCCTCAAGCACAAGGTGGGTGTGCTACCACATTGAGCTTGTCACGAAGAAGCTGGAAGCAAGGACCCGGTAGCGGCTTGGTGAAGATATCGGCTAGTTGATCTTTAGTAGAGACAAAATTAACAATGAAGTCCCCGGATGCTACCTTGTCCCGTACGAAATGATAATCAATCTCTACATGCTTTGTACGAGCATGAAAAACCGGATTAGCACAGAGGTATGTGGCGCCCAAATTGTCACACCATAGAGTGGACGGCTGACCAGAGTGTAAACTAAGTTCCCGAAGAAGAGAAACAACCCACTTGACTTCCGCGGAAACATCTGCAAGAGCTTTATACTCTGCCTTAGTAGACGAGCGGGCAACTGTTCGTTGTTTTCTGGATAACCAAGAGATGAGATTGGAGCCGAGGAACACAGCATAACCACTTGTGTTTTTCCTGTCAACTGGACATCCAGCCCAATCCGAATCTGAGAAGGCATGCAAGGCAGTCGATGTCGACGGTGATAGACGCAATCTATAGTCTTGAGTACCCTTGACATAACGGAGAACTCGTTTCAGCAGACCCCAGTGGTTCTCTGTGGGTGAGTGCATGAACTGACACAATTTATTGACTGCATAGGATAAGTCAGGACGAGTAATCGTCAAATACTGCAAGGCCCCTACAGTGCGACGATATTGAGTGGGATTGTCATACGGTTGCTCAGAAGGTGAGACGGCTTGAGTAACAGCAGCAGGAGTGGCCAACGGCTTGCAATCACCCATTCCTGCACGTGTGAGAATATCACCCATGCAACGACGTTGCGATAGAAGCATACCATCGTTTACCTTCACTGTTTCAATACCCAAAAAGAACCCTGGTGTCCCTAAGTCTCGGATTTTGAATGTTGTGGACAATTGCTTGAGAAGAGTATCAATGAACGCAGAGTCATTACCCAGCATGATTATGTCATCCACATAGACTAATAGAAAGACCCGGGCCGTACCAGCGGTGTAGTGAAACAGAGACACATCTGTCTTGGACGCCGCGAAACCTGTAGAGAGTAAGAAATCATGCAACCTCTTGAACCAGGCACGGGGTGCTTGTTTGAGGCCATACAGGGAGCGCTGGAGATGACAGACGTGATTAGGATGCATGGGATCTTCATACCCTGGCGGTTGTTTCATGTATACTGTTTCTGCTAGATGCCCATTTAGAAATGCATTATGAACATCAAGTTGTCGTAAGGTCCTGTTATATGACACAGCAAGAGAGAACAACAGTCGGACTGTAGTTGGCTTGACAACCGGATCGAAGGTGTCAAAGAAGTCCTCACCGGCTACTTGGTTAAACCCCTTGGCAACAAGTCTCGCTTTGTATCTCTCAACAGATCCATCTGCATTGCGTTTAGTTCTAAAGACCCACTTACACCCAATTATATTCATATGTGATTCTACTGGGACTAGCTGCCAAGTGTTGTTGTGAAGGAGTGCATTAAACTCCTGGTCCATGGCGTCACGCCAATGTGGATGCCTTATAGCTTGAGAGTAGCAAGTAGGATCAATAGTGGCACTTAGAGCGTGAAATTGCTCATCCGTACCTTGTGTCATATGTCGTAGACGCATAGTAAGTGGCACGGGTGGAGCTGGTGGCTTTCTGCGACGAGCTCTGACCGATGCCCTAATAGCCAATGGAGCGGGTTCAGTAGCTAATGGAGCAGGCTCACTAGCCAAGGGTATGGGCTCCGACTCAATCGGTGGTGCAACCGCAACTGGGGGCGGTATAGGTTGCGGTACTAAGGGCCCGGCTGCCCAGGGTGCCGCGGGTGGCGTTTGTTGCGGTGTGTTCTGCACAATTGTGTCTGAAAAGGGAAAAGTAGTTTTGTCAAACCGGACATGACGACAGATATAGATTTTTCCAGTTGTTAAGTCCATGCATCTATATCCCTTATAGGACGGAGGGTAACCTAAGAAGACACATGGGGTGGAGCGATACTCTATCTTATGACGATTATAAGACCGTAGATAGGGATAGCACCGACACCCGAATACTCGTAGGAACGTATATGGTGGGGACATATTAAAGAGACGTGAGTAGGGACTTTGTAACTGTAGGACGGTGGAAGGCATATAGTTTATCAAGGTGGTGCCTGTTTCAAA